TTTGGCAGTGGCCCAAGCAGATTTAGAGCAGCCTCCTCATAAGAGACCTCAATTACAGACATGGGTAGTAGCAGACTATGTCTATCCATACCAACATGTATGGGATGACACTTATGGCAATATTTACAATGTTCCTTGAAGGCTTTGTGAAGACTGGGTGAGAAAAAAAAAACTGCTCTGTCTGTTTTAGCGCTCTTCCCCTAAATGACCACCCAACACAAAAGAATGGGCCAGAACCATTACACTACTGAATTTGGATCCCATAACTGTGCGGTCCCAAAATCTTGCCCTGCCACTGGTATATCCATTAAGTCAGGCACTGGGACCATTTACTTTGACTCCCTAACCAGGTGTGCTACTGGAAGTTGTCAGGTACCTCTGATGTAGGGTTGCCAATATCCCCCCTTCAGAAATGGCTACCTGTTTTTGTTTCCTCTGAACATCAGTCAATGTGCACATAGGGCTCATGCACACAAAAAATACGGCAACTAGTATACTAGTAGTGGCATCAGGATCCGGTGTAAAATGTGCTCTGTTTGTTGTACGAATGTAACATTTGTGCAAAGTTTACATGCATACAGGGGGCAGCGTAAAGGTGCACTATTGGTTGCTAGGATACTAGGTGGCTTGAGCTACCTGCATCCTAGCAACAAAGGACACTAGGAGGCAAAGAGCCATCTACATCCTTGTAACAAAGGATGCTAGATAGCTTGAGCTGCCTGCATCCGAGCAGTGAAAGAAATTAGATGGCTCCTGCCACCTACAGTTGTGTCCTTTGTTACTAGCACACAGGCAGTTCCAATAGAGTGCATTTGTGTTGTACGATGTACTGTACACGTCAGCACAAATGTTTACATGTACACAGCGTAAAATAGAGTCATATGCAAGATCTTAATAAATTGGACACATTCACTGATTTTTTACACACTGATTTTACACACATGGGCCCATTCAAAAACAATATACCTGTGAGATAAAAACGCAGTGTTTTTTTGCCATATGCATGGCCCAAAGGAGGACCGTGAGACAAATTAAGAAGGCCTGACTAACAGGTAAGATGTAGACCAAGAAACGGAGGCTTTATTCCATCCAAAACAGAACTCATTATAATCTGAGAAAACCAAAAATGTGTTTTTTTCATAAGAGACACAAAACTTGGAGCCCCTCAGCACGTGAAGGTGAGAAGCCTAGGTGACACACATACACGGAACACAATCCTGCCAGACAGTGACTCACAATTCTCAAAACAAATCAAAGGTTTTGGCTTCAAAGAATGTGGAAGTATTAGTATCCATGTCAGGTTTTTACTGCAATGTGTGGGTTCTGTTGGAAAGATTAAAAGAAGGTAAAGAGGTAAAATCTGTAAAAGGACACAGGCAGAATAAACAGCCTTCCCTAATTTGCTAAAAAAAATAAGTCTTTGTATTTCTCCCATTTTTGCTGTTGGGGATTTTCTCTCACTTGCCTGGTGAAACCATTGTCATTGTAGGTAAGAGAGGGGAAAACTATCTTATAGAGCTCTGGATAACAGTAAAACTCTGATACCAGGTTCTAATCCTTCCCCACCATATCCAAAACTAAAACAAAGTTTTGGCTGGCCATAAGCTTTAAAACAAATTCCCTTTTTATGTTTCCAAGTATAAAAAAAAATAGTCCACTCTGGGTGATCATTGTACATTAAGGATTTTGCCAAAGTTTGTTACAGATTTTTAACCTTTTTGTGTTCTGAAGAAAAAGCTGTATGTTTCACCATGTTCTTTCCAGACGGATTCCTGAATGGGGGAGGGGGGGTTGGGTTATTATAACCACCTGGTGCACTTTGTGTTCTAATGAGGAAAGATGCAGTGTATTTTTTCCTTTAGAAGTAGTTAACCCTTAGGGAGTATCTCACCAAAAATGATTTTTTTTTTGCATGTGATGCCTAAAAGTGTACTTGCACCTTAGTGCAGACTTTTGGAAAAATCAGTCAGCCTATCACACTTATCACACAAGCAGTAAAGTGATATTAAAGCCAATTTGTTTGTATTTCTCCTTTAAGAAGACCCTCCTTGCATGGAGGCTGTTGCTTTTTGTTCTTTAAAAGTTCTTCATTCCTCGTTTTCTAGTGGGTTCCCGCCATGCTCTTCCCCCCGCCCACGGGTGCCACTATCGTTCTAATGGAAGCTCCCGTGCCCGCAGCGGCTGTGTGCATCCATAAGACACACACAGTCCTGTGGCAGGCCACGCCCCTTCCCTCTTTGATTGATGGCAGAAGGAGCCTATGGCTCCTCTGCCATCAGTATCCTCCCCTGCAACCCGGAAGTTCGGAGTATGGAGGATCGATTCAGGACTGGCGGCGAGGACGAGCGCAGCTGACAGGTAAGTTTGGGGGAAACTGGGGTAGAAAAAAGGTGCTGGGCCATTTTTATTCTAATGCAGAGAATACATTAAGGTAAAAAATGCCCAGACCTTAATACTACTTTAAATTACATTTCTGGGGTTGTTTTGTACACCAATGGTCTGAAGAAAACCTCCCGTTTGCCAAATTGCACTGAATAATTTTTTTTTAACAGCTTTACAAAATTACAGCAACTTCAGATTGAAATGTAAAGGTATTTTTTTTTTAAATAACATTAAATTACAAAATGGCTTGTGTAGCATATATATATATAAATATATATATTTA